GTGAGCTCCCTGATAAACAAAAAATTTTCAGGTAAAAGTGTCACCGTTTTTGAAATATTTATATTTTTTCGAATTAAAAAAAAATCGTGCCTTTTCATGTGTTTTCTTTAACTGCAACTACAAACCGGGCAATACTTAGTAAATTTTTTATGTAAAATACTTCCAGATAGTTGCCTCTCCATACTCAAATGCAATGTAGTTAAAATAAATTAAGGAACCATCATAAAATTAGGACTATTTCTGGATTTTTAACTTTTTGATATTTTCTTCCCCAACTTTGACTATCTCGGGTGAAAAAAAAATGTACTGAGCTATAACTTTACATTACATAAAAAAATTGCTCCTTTAATAAAGATTTCAGAAAGGTGCCACACTTACTGTTTTGAATAGAAAAAACAAAAGTTATAGCCGCTTTTGTGGGTAAAGGACTGAGACACGCTAGAATGTATTTAATAGATTTAAATTGAATTTGCTCTTGTTACCGTCAAATGACATGCTAAATAGTACAAAGGTACATAATTACTTGCTCTTGACATTATTTTATGTTACTTACCGGAATTAGTGAAAGAGGATTTTGTGAAATTGGACCCTTCGAACATTGTGTTATTAATACTATGACAGAGAACACGCAGTATACGTCGCATGAATATGCGGATATTCACCTAATTTACGGTGAAGCTTGCTGTAATGCCAGAGCTGCTCAAAGACTCTATGCAGAGCGATACCCCAATCGTCGACATCCGGGCCGTGAAGTATTCGCCCGGACCCATAGAGAAATATATGAAGGTAAGTGATTTTTACACCTTTCTTGTTTGCTTGCTTGTTAACTATCATTTTTCACTTTTTTAAGGTCGCATACCTGGAAGGCGTGGCGGCGCAACAGGACGTCCTGCAACGGTAGATGTTGAAGCTGTGTTAGAGGAAGTGGAACTAGGTCCATCGACTTCAGTGAGAATGATGGAGAGACGGACGGGAATACCAAAAAATACAGTTCACAAAGCTTTAAAAGACCATCGATTTCATCCCTACCACATTCAACGTGTTCAGGCTCTACAGGAAAGGGATTACCTGTCGAGGGTTAGATTTTGCCGTAAAATGTTGCGAATGCATGCATCAGACCCCAACTTTATTAATAAAATAATTTGGAGCGATGAATGATCATGCAAACGTGATGGTTATTTTAATTTACATAACCTTCACAGTTGGCAGATAGACAATCCTCACGAAATGAATGAGAGAAGATCGTTCGCAGTACCGGTACAAAATAAAATTATGGTGCGGTATTTTGTCAGATATTGGGACCTGTGGAACTGCCGCCAACGCTCAACTCTCACAGTTATTAAGAGTTCCTTCAGGAACGGCTTCCAACTCTTTTGGAAGATGTACCCTTAAACCTGCGGCGAAGACTATGGCTTCAAAATGACGGGTGCCCTGCTCACTACGGGCGTGAAGTAAGAGCTCATTTAGACGAAACTTATCCTCGCCGATGGATTGGACGATACGGGCCAATCACGTGGCCCGCTCGACCGCCAGACTTGAATCCATTAGATTTTTTCTACTGGGGCTGTCTTAAGGACAAAATTTATTCAAAAACAATTCAAAACGAAGAGCATTTGCGGGAACAAATAAATGGAGCTGCTGCTGAGATAGCCCAATTGAGTTTAAGATCTCTAAAAGCGTCTTTTCTTAAAAGGTGCCGAGCTTTTTTTAGAGTAGAAGGTCGCCAATTTGAGCATATTTTATCAATAAATGATCAAATTTTTCTTCAAACAACTCATGTATATCTTATTTCACGTGAACCCATCCTTCACACAAAATATTGATAGATATAGCCCTTGTTATAGACTCTAGTCCGAATTCCGGTAAGTAACACAAAATAATGTCAGGAGCAGGTAATAATGCACCTTTGTACTTTTTAGCATGTCATTTGACGGTAACAAGAGCAAATTCAATTTAAATCTATTAAATACATTCTAGCGTGTCTCAGTCCTTTACCCACAAAAGCGGATATAACTTTTTTTTTCTATTCAAAACAGTAAGTGTGGCACCTTTCTGAAATCTTTAATAAATGAGCAATTTTTTTATGTAATGTAAAGTTATAGCTCTGTACATTTTATTTTCACCCGAGATAGTCAAATTTGGGGAAGAAAATATCAAAAAGTTAAAAGTCGAGAAATAGTCCTAATTTTATGATGGTTTCTTAATATATTTTAACTACATTGCATTTGAGTATGGAGAGGCAACTATCTGGAAGTATTTTACATAAAAAATTTACTAAGTATTGCCCGGTTTGTAGTTGCAGTTAAAGAAAACACATGAAAAGGCACGATTTTTTTTAAATTCGAAAAATTATAAATATTTCAAAAACGGGGACACTTTTACCTGAAAATTTTTTGTTTATCAGTGAGCTCACCCCCCCCACCTACCTTGCCCTAAAGTTTGGCACGTTACTTCTGGGACACCCTGTATATGTTTCCGTAATAAAAACTGTGACAAGAATTTGTCACTGATACAGAATAGAGCCGTAAATACAAAACATTTACGTACATACATATAAGTACCTCCCAACGGGGCCAGAAGCGCTCCATTAGTGCTATTGGAGCGCTCCATATTCAGCAGTGAGCACTCCCTACATAATTTCACTCTTCATTGTATTTTAACATAGGGAATCATTAGAAAGAAGCGCTCCCTTACTGCTCCCAAAGAAGCCCTTGGTGAGCGCTTCAACTAAAGCATTTAAAAATCGATGCATGCAAATTTTAATTTTTATATTTTATTTTTGTTTTAATAAAATAATGGCGTTTTTGTGAACTAGTTGATGGCCTTATTATGTGTACTTATTGTTTTTCTTATGTATGTGGTATACGTACATACGAAAATACATACATATATATATGTTTGTACATAAATTAACTAGTTTTCAAACGAAAATATTATGGCTGCGTTTCTTTATACATTCCGGATAATCTCATTTCACAGCCGGAATAAACAGAATGTGTTTGAAATATACGTTAACATATCATCAGGAACGTTCTAAAACAAAAAAGTTTATTCCGAACGTTCAGAATGAATAAAGAAATTCAGCCTTTATGTTACTACTCAAAATGATATTTATTTCTAAGCATTGTTAGAAATTTAAAAATTTATTTTTTATTTTGCTTTTGTACTGCTCCCTACTTGCTCCTTTGGGGAGCAGCTAACTTTCGGTCCTGTTGGGTACGTACATTTTAAAACAAACAAGAAATAAATAAATGCAGATACAGTCTTAGACACAGAGATGAGATCATTTAACATTTTTTGGTTGTATGAATTATATACATATCGCAAACGTAGATCTAAAATGCAATTTTTTTGTATAAATCAATTCAAAGCACTTACATCCAATTAATGGAAAATTTTTTTTCCATAATTATATACATTAACTAAAAAACTACTGTTATACCTGTTTTTGTGTGAATTGCGCTGAATCTGTACGATCCACAAGCAGTTAAATTTCCCTCTATGAATTTTGAGTTAGCTCACTTTAGATCTAGGTGTGCGATATGTTTAAATACCAGTAAGTTTAATTTCT